TCCTCCAAACTTACTAGAACAATCAAAATATGAATCTTACGTCATCATCGCAAATGTTTACTAAAATCAAACTTCCAAAGTTCCAAACTTCCCAAACTAAAAAAGCTCCTCAAAGTGGATCTGATTAACTTTTGGAATCATGTCACCTATGTTACCAAATAATGTCCTATATACATCTTTATCCTAGTCTTTAGGAGATTAGTTTATCTTGAATTCGTTTCCTATTTTTAGGATTGGTATTAGTTAGTGGTTCCATCTTTCTTACTGAATGTTGTTACCTCTTTATGCCTATAAAATCTTCAGCCATAGAGTACTAAATATAGTCAGAAAATGAGTTCCTTTTATGTTCATTTTCAGTATATTAACTCTCTTCTCAATTTTTTGCTTTATGCAAATTCTTCTTTGTTGTGCATCTGTTTACATTTGTATCAGAGAAAGCGTGACTGGAGTAAAAAGAAAATAGCAGGAGGTAAATTTCTTTTTTTCTTTTCCGCATAACTCATGGCATCAGAAAGTAATTTTTTACAAGCACCCAATCCTCACTTTGATGGTCTTTATGATCATTGGAGTATGCTAATGGAGAATTTCTTACGGTCAAAAGAATATTGATCAATTGTCAAGGATGGGATTAGCACTCCGGTGGAAGGCAAAATTTTGATGAATTCTCAAAAGACAGAATTGGAAGCAAAAAAGCTAAAAGATCTAAAAGTGAAGAATTATCTCTTTCAGGCTATCGATCGTCCCATCCTAGAAACTACTCTTTGAAAAGAAACATCCAATGATTTTTGGGATTCTATGAAGATAAAATATCGAAACACCGCCAGAGTGAAGCGTGCCCAACTTCAAGCCTTGAGAAAGTATTTCGAGACTTTGCAGATAAAGGAAGAAGAGTTTGTAATAAGTTACAACGCTAGAATAATGAAGATCAGCAAAAAAAAAACTTTCCATAGTGAGAAGATGAATGATGTCACAATTGTTGAGAAGATACTGCACTCTTTAATGCTGAAGTACGATTATGCCATTTCCTCGATTGAGGAATCAAAAGGTATAGATGAGTTTTCGCTTGACGAATTGTACCGCTCCTTATTGGTGCATGAACAAAAGATCAATCACAGTTCAACTTATGAGGAGCAGGCCTTGAAAGCTTCTACTTATACTCTATTAATTCTAGAGGAAGAGGTAGAGGTAGGGGTAGAGGACGAGGGAGAGGAGACCCTGAAAATTGCCTAAAGAAAAGGACAAGAATTCTAATTTTGTGCCTCCATCTCTATTTCCACAGTCTCCTCTTACTCTTCCTCTACATGTACCGAAGAGGAAAGGAGAACATGGAAATAGAGACGGAGGCACAAATTTAAGGGTCAATGATGACTACGGCAAATGTAGAGGAAAAAACTTTGACAAATCAAAGGTAAATTCTTATCGATGTCATAAATTTGGTCATTATGAATTTGATTGCTATATTAGGCTGCCTAATGAGAAGGACGAGAAGTCCAATTTTGTTGAAAGAAAGGACTAAGAGAACTTGTTGATGGCGATACAAGCACAAGAAGAACTTGTGCAAGATTTTTGGTATCTATACATAGGCTGGAGGAATCACATTAGTGAGAGTAAGTCTTGTTTTTCATATTTAAATAAAGATTTTTGTTCTAAAGTTAGTTTTGGTGATTGCTCTATGGTGGAAGCAATGGTAAAAGGTGATATTAAAATTAAAATGAAGAATGGTTTTGAATAAATAATATCAAACGTGCTTTATGTTCCTGATTTAAAAAGCAACTTATTGAGTGTAGGACAATTTCAAGAAAAAAGATATATTCTTCTCATTGGAAAAAGGTGTTTGTGAGATTTATATTCCTACTATAGGAGCTATTGGTATTGCGAAAATGAATTCAAAAAGGTTATTTCCCTTGAATATTGAGAGTATTCGATCTTGTTTAAAAATATAAGTAAAAGATTCTTCATGGTTGTGGCATTTTAGATATTGTCACTTGGGTTTTGGTGGATTGAAAACTCTCTAACAGAAAGATATGGTGATAGGCCTTCCTGAAATTTTCATCCCTTCCTAAGTTCGTGAAGAATGTGTTGTTGGCAAACAACATCGATCTCAGTTTCCAAAAGGGAAGTCATGGAGGGCGAAGGATCTTTTGGAGCTGGTGCATTATGATATATGTGGCCCAATTAAACCAATTATTAATAGAGGTAAAATGTATTTCATTACCTTTACAGATGATTATTCTCGGAAAACTTTGATGCATTTTTTGTAGGAAAAATCATAAGCTTTTGGAGTATTTAAAAGCTTCAAGGCTCATGTATAAAATGAAACCGGAAAGGCCATAAAGACTCTTCGAATTGATCGTAGTGGCAAGTACTTCTCAAAAGTATTTAAAGATTTTTGTGAATCTAATGGAATTTGAAGAGAGCTCACCACTGCTTTTATACTACAACAAAATGGTGTATTCGAGAGAAAAAATAGAGCCATTCTCAATATGGTGCGGAGTCTGCTAGAAAGAATGGAAAAGACTTTTTGGCCTGAAGCAATTAATTGGAGCATTCATGGCTTTAATAGAAATCCAACATTTGTTGTTCAAAATATGACTCCAGAAGAGGCTTGGAGTGGAAGAAAACCAACTATCGATCACTTTGAAATTTTTGGTTGCATTACCTATGCATATGTTTCTGACGAGAAGAGGAAGAAGCTTGATGACAAAAGCAAAAAGTGTATATTTCTCAATGTTAGCGAAGCATCAAAAACATATAAATTGCTAAATCCACAAACGAAGATGATTGTAATCAGTAGAGATGTTATTTTTATGGAAGAGAACACTTGGGACCTGAGTATACAACAGTCTACTCCAATCGTATTTGACAGTGAAGTTGAAGAAGTTGCTGAAATTCCTGAAAGTGTACATAATTCATCTCCAATAGCTGCTGAAACTCTACAAACTCGTGCTGAAATTTCACCAACTTTACAGGCAACTTTGGAAGAAACTAATGCAACAACTCAGTCTCTTCGTCCTGCTCGCAGGAAGCCTGCGCGGATGCTAGACTTTAAGTTTAAGGAATCAATGTAAATGATGATGCCATTACTCATTTTTCTTTGTTTGCATATTGTAACCTGACAATACTTAAGAAGAATAAAGGAAGACAATGGATTTTGAAATTAAAGCTATTGAAAGGAATGATACTTGGGAGCTTGTTGATCTTCTTGAGAAACACAAAATCATTGGTGTCAAGTGGGTATAGAAGACAATACTAAAATAAGATGGTGAAATTGATAAGTATAACGTGCGATTGGTTGTCTTAGGGATACAAGAGGGAATATGGTGTTGATTACATTGAAGTTTTTGCTCCAGTTGCAAGGCATGACACTATCAGAATGTTAATTGCCTTGGCATCACAAAATTCCTGGCCTTTCTTCCAGGTGGATGTCAAATCAGCTTTCCTACATGAATAATTGGAGGAAGAGGTATTTATCGAACAACCCCTTGGTTTTGTTAAGATTGGTAACGAGCAGAAGGCTTATCGATTGAAGAAAGCTCTTTATGAATTAAAACAAGCCCCTCGAGCTTGGAATAGTTGCATTAAGGCTTATTTTCAGAAAATGAGTTTTCAATAATGTCCACACGAGCATACACTTTTTGTGAAAATTTGGGAGAATGGGAAAATTCTCATTGAGTGCTTATACTTTGACGATCTTATATTCACGGGGAAGAGTAGTGTCATGTTTGCCAAACTCAAGAAGTGTATGATGAATGAATTCAAGATGTTTGATTTTGGTAAGATGCACTATTTTATTGTTTTAGAAGTGGTGCAATCTAATGCCGGGATATTTGTTTCTCAAAAGAAGTACGTATGAGAAATTTTAAACAAGTTTAAGATGCAGAATTGCTATTCAACCAACATTTAGTTGAGTTTGGCTTGAAGCTAAGTAAAGTTTGGAGTGGAAAGAAGGTAGATAGCACATATTACAAGTAAATTGTGGGTAGTTTAATGTATCTAGCTGCTACAAGACCAGCCATCATGTATGTTTTTAGTCTTGTAAGTAGATATATGGAGTGCCCAACTCAAATGCACCTCTTAGCTACGAAGAGAATTCTCTGTTACTTGCAAGAAAACAAGGATTTTGGAATTTTCTATATGAAAGGAGATATTTCAGATTTGACTGGCTTTACTGCAGGATATCAAGATGATAGAAAGAGCACTTCAAGCTATGTCTTTTTACCAGGCACATGGGCTGTGTCGTGGTCCTCCAAAAAGCAAACAATTGTCACATTATCAATTACATAAACTAAACTTATTGCTGCCAAAACTTGTTCTTGTTAAGCTGTCTGGCTTAGGAGAATCCTTGCTGAGTTGCAATTCAAGACGGACTACAATATTTTGTGATAAAAATTCTGCCATCAAGTTGTTTAAGAATCCGTGAACCATGAAAGAAGCAATCACATTGATGTGAAGTGTTATTTTCTACGAGATCTCCCTAATGAAGGACCAAAAGAGCTGCAGTACTGCCGGTGAAGATCAATTTGTGGACATTTTTCACAAAACTTCTAAAAATTTTCCCTTTACAAAAGTTGAGGAGGTTGATGGGTATTGGCACAATGGAAGAGTTCAAGTAGCTAAAGTTAACCTGAAGCTTGAGAGCTTTCAGTTTAAGGGAGAATGTTAGAAAATAAAAGTCCTGTTTACAGCTTTGTCCTAGTCTTTAGGAGATTAATTTATCATGAATTTGTTTCCTACTTTTAGGATTAGTATTAGTTAGTGGTTACAACTTTCATGCTTAATGTTGTTATCTCTTTATTCCTGTAAAATCTATAGCCGCAGTGTACTAAATATAATCAGAAAATGAGTTCCTTTTATTTTCAGCATATTGACTCTCTTCTCAGTTTTGTGCTTTATGAAAATTCTTCTTTGTTGTGCATCTGTTTACATTGGTATCAGAGAAAGCGTGAGTTTCTGGAGTAAAAACAAAATAGTAGCAGGTAAATCTCTTTTCCGCATAACTAATGGCATTAGAAAGTAATTTTGTGCAAGCAGCATATCCTAACTTTGATGGTCATTATGATCATTGGAGCATGCTAATGGAGAATTTCTTACAGTCAAAGGAGTATTGGCCAATTGTCGAGGAAGGGATTAGCACTCCGGTGAAAGGCAAAATTTTGATGAATGCTCAAAAGATAGAATTGGCTGCAAAAAGTTGAAAGATCTGAAAGTGAAGAATTATCTCTTTCAGGCTATTGATCGTCCCATCCTAGAAACTATTCTTTACAAAGATACTTCTAAGGATATTTGGGATCCATGGAGAAAAAAATATCAAAGAACTACCAGAGTGAAGTGTGCACAACTTCAAGCCTCGAGAAGGGATTTCGAGAGTTTGCACATAAAGAAAGGAGAGTCTATAATGAGTGACTGTGTTAGAACAATGGAGATCAACAACAATGTGCGGTTCCATGAGAAGATGAATGATGTCACAATTGTTGAGAAGATACCACACTCTTTGACGTCGCATTATGATTATGTCGTTTACTCCATCAAGGAGTCAAAAGATATAGATGAGTTGTCACTTGACGAATTGTGAGGCTCCTTATTGGTGCATGAACAAAAGATGAAATGCAGTTCAACTTCTGAGGAGTAGGCCTTGAAAGCTTCTACTTTTATTTCTTCCAATTCTAGAGAAAGAAGTAGAGGTAGAGGCAGAGGGAGAGGAAACCCTGGAAATAGAGATGGAGGCAGAAATTTAAGGGTCAATGATGACTACAACAAAGGCAGAGGAAAGAATTTTGAAAAATCAAAGGTCGAATATTATCGATGTCATAAATTTGGTCATTGTCAATCTGATTGCTATAGTAGGCTGCCTAATCAGATGGACAAGAAGTCTAATTTTGTGCCTCCATCTCTATTTCCATGGTCTCATCTCCCTCTTCCTCTACCTGTACCAAAGAGGGAAATGAGAACATGAAAATAGAGATGAAGGTAGAAATTTAAGGGTAATGATGACTATGGCAAATGTAGAGGAAATGACAACTTAAAGGTAGAATATTATCGATGTCATAAATTTTTTCATTATCAATCTGAATGCTATATTAGGCTTCCTAATGAGAAGGACAAGAAGTACAATTTTGTTGAAAGCAAGGAATAAAAGACGTTGTTGATGGCAATACAAGCACAAGCAGAATCAGTGCAAGATGTTTGGTATTTGGACATAGGCTGGAGTAATCACACGAGTGAGAGTAAATCTAGATTTTCTTATTTAAATGAAGCCTTTCATTCTAAAGTTTGTTTTGGTGATTGCACTACTGTGGATGCAATGGTAAAATGTGATATTAAAATTAAAATGACGAATGGTTTTGAATATATAATATCAAATGTGCTTTATGTTCCTGCTTAAAAAGCAACTTATTGACAAGGGGTATTAATGTTCAGGTGGGCCAATCACCAGTGGTTCCTACACCGGCTGTTGGTGCACAGATTTCTCCCAAGGTTATTTTTACACCTGTTGATCAACAATGTTATGAGAGGTTTCATAAGATGAAACCACCCCAGTTTCAGGGTGGTAAGAGCGAGGAGGCTCATGAGTTCTTGACTTTGTGCCATGAGATGCTAGAGGCAGTGGGTATGGTGGATGCTCGTGGTATTCGGTTTGTTGCACTTCAGCTTCGTGGTCGTGCCAAGGAGTGGTGTAGGACTTTTGTAAGGTCTAGACCAGTTGGATCTCCCCTAGAATAGTGTGATGTGTTCTCTAGTGCTTTCCATGACTGCTTCATTCTTTGGAGCATGAGAGAGACGAGTTGTCTGAGGGTTGAGACCTTGACTCAAGCGAGTCTGTCTGTGACCGAGTATGAGACCCATTTTTGTGAGCTTTCTAGGCATGCTATGACTATTGTTACGGATGAGAGGGTTGACTTTATCTATGAGGTCTTATGTGTTCATAGCACCCAGAGAGGGGGCTTCCTTCTAATCTATTGTGAGGACGCGAAGGAGGCGGAGTTGATGGTTTTAGAAGAGTTTTGGGAGCTTAAGAGAGCCTATTCTTCTGGTCAGTTTTTTGGTGACTCATCTGGAGGCAAAGGTTCACATAAAGGTATTAGTTCCTTTCAACTCCGTGGACCGGTTCTTGTTTCTATGCCAGTAGCTGATAGTCGGCATTTAGCTCGAGGAGCTTATGATTCTGGCCGAGGTATCCATGGTAGTTAGTCTGGTTCACAACGACAGTTATCCTTGCCGAGATCTTGCTTTACTTGTGAGGATCCAAGTCATATGATGCGATAGTGTCCTCTACATACTCATTCAACACATCAACGTTCTTATGCAGCTGCTCTAGCTAGAGGTTCAGTGCCTTCGGCCAGGGGTCGAGGTAGAGGTTAGACCGATAGATGTGGTAGAACTTCTGGTATGGATACTCCAGCTCTGTAGTGTGGAGGTAGAGGTTCTACTCAAGCTACAGGCAGTCGAGATAGCAGTGATATGCTTTTCGAGGAGGCTTGAGGCAAAGACTTCTGATGTTGTGATCATATGTATCATCCCAATTTTCCATCGACCCACATCTGTATTATTTGATCCGAGGTATACTTTCTCATATGTATCTACCTATTTTGCTGTTGGGTTTGATATGTTGTCTGATTGCATGACTATGCCTATTCATGTTTCTACACCAGTGGGTGAATCCTTAGTGGTGGATCAAGTGTATCAATTCTGTCTTGTTTCCTTGGCCGGGTATGATACTTGGGTAGATTTCATTATTTTTGGGATGGTAGACTTTGACATCATCTTGGGGGTAGTAGAGTTTGACATCATTTTGGGGATGTTACACTTTGACATCATCTTGATAATTGCAAATTTAGTTAACTTTTATTCTCTCTTATAGGGAAGATTAACATATTATAGTTTCTATCGAGAATAATATAGTCCAAGTATTTATAATCTGATTTTTTTTCTATCTTCATCCATGAATATTCTATTTTTTTTAAAACTAAGTTTATGTTGGTAAAATTTTAAAATAGAATAATAGTAGAAATATTTTTACATTTGAGCATACTTTTCTTACTTAATAATTTTCTTTTCAAATAGATTTCTCCATTATTAATGAGACATTCAGATCAAGGCAGTCAAGAAAAGCATAAAATCGATCAATGAAAATACGATAGAAGTATGATGTTGAGAAGTTAGTCTTTTATTGTAAAGCCACATGAACATACATGGTAAAAGTATAATAATAAAAATAGAATACACAAACTTGTTCATAATATTTGAATAATATACATTGTAAATCATGATCATTAAATTATCATTCATTGACAACAATCAAAATGGCTAACCCACATTAATAAATATATTTAATCACTTATAAGCGCTAATAGTAGAAGTGTTCACTTCAACTTTGATCAGGTGTTGGCATTTAACACAACATCTACACCAGTCCCACTAATTTCAGCCTGAGATGCAATAACTTGATCACTGATCAATATAGTTTGTATGTCTTCAGCTGAAAAAAAGAACGTCTTGTTAGTATTTTTCAAAATAAAAAATATTCAAAATAGGATGAGAACAAAGAATTCAATTAGAAAAATTGTACCAAATTTTTAGAAAATCTAACTTATTCAAAGTCTTACCAGCTTGAACACCTTGTTCTGTGTCTTCTAAATATTTTTTAGCCCTAAAAATAGAAGGAACCAAAATAGAAAATTACAATTTAGTTGTAAGAAAGATTGAATAGGTCTAAACAAAAAATCGTTGATCATGCATAAACAACACAATCAAAACAAGATGCTATGATTTCACAATATTTACTACGTAATAATATAAGAATAGTGATAGAGAACTTAAATATTAGGAAAATGAGAAAGGAGGAGCATTTGACGTAAATGTAGTATAACCTGTTAGCTTCAAACGATTTTTGTTGCTCAATATATGCTATAGCTTTTATTTTTGATGGAAAAGTTTTCTTTGCATCTGGATCCTTATAAAGATGCATGTCACAAAAATAAAATAGACTTGGATTAAAATCAACTCATATATATTATATAGATTATTTCAAATAGGTTCAAGTGATGTGGTACTTGAAATAAAGGATTCATGGGTCATGTCTCAAAATGAAAAGATAGTCATATATATAAATTAGAACAAAAACTCAAAAATATTGTTTTACTTACATTATAACTATAGCCAGCAAGTTTACCCGTTTTGCGTTATCTCACAATCTTTGACAATCCAGCCGGCAAACAAGAATCATCATCAATATTGCTAGATTGCTTCTCTTTTCTTTTTCTCTCCTCTTTCACATCATCTTTCGCATTGTTAGATTGCTTTTTTTTTTTTTTTCTCTTCTCTTTCACATCATCTTTCGCATTGTTAGATTGCCTCTTTTTTCCTTTTCTCTTCTCTTTCACCTCATTTTTTGCATTGCTAGGTTGTCCAGATTCTTGATCAATATCTAAGGGGCTTTTCTCCTTTGAGCAAATGATCTGGGGGTTGAGCTAGTGCTTTGTGTAAGGGTTTGACATAACCCACCAACTTTGAGTCAAATTCTGTATACTTATAAATTAAATTACTTATTAAAAATCCAATAAACTATGTTTTTTAGAATTCAAAATTCATACTTAAAGTCATACCTTCGCTTCCTCGAATCATGCTTGGAATTAATACTTCATTTACGTGTTCGAAAGAGCCTTGTAGCTTTAGCTCAGATCCTGTATATATTTTTTAAAATTTATTTATTATATATAAATAATTTGTCAAGAACTCAGTGTTTTGTGTTTTCTAGAATCTGGAATTCATAAACTTAAATTTTACCTTCTAAGCCACAAATCGAGATCAAAACTATGGACTTATCTAAGGCTGGGCACCGGACCGGAATGGGACCACCGGACCGGAACGAACCGGTACCGGACCGGAACGGGACAGTTTGACCGGTACCGGGATGAACCGGACCGGAACTACCGGGATGAAGGCTCAGTTCCGTCCCGTCCCACTATATACCGGGATAGAACCGGGACGGACCGGAATGGACCGGAACGGAACGGGATGGGATAAACGGGACGGCACATATAGCTATTTCAAAAAATAATTATTTTTTTTGAGTTATTTTGAATTACGAAAATACGAATGTTTTTTTAATTTTTCTAAGTTATATTAGTTTTTAGTATTTAAGTTTTAAAATTTATAATAATTTTACTTAAGTTTATTTTAAAGATATTTTTTTTAATTTTTACGTATATAAGTTTGTAAGTTAAGTTTAATAAATTTTTTTTTTTTTAGTTTTTGAGCTTATGTAGTTATGTTATAAGTTTTAAAGTTTTGAATCTTTGGAAGTTTATAAGTTATTAAGTTATACTTATAACTTGTAAGTTAAATAACTTAAGTTTGTAATTTTAAAAAAAATAAATAAACAAAAAATAAATGCTAATAAAAGTAAATAATGACAAAAATATTATTTTTTATTTTAATTAAAAATGATTTACCGGGACCGGACCGGTACCGGACCGGACCGGAACGGAACCGGAATGAATCGGGATGAACCGGTACCGGTATACCGGTACCAAATCATGGTACCGTTCCGTTCCGTGTACCGGTTCAATGTATCCCATCCCGTCCCGAATACTACCGGACCGGAACAGACCGAAATGGTACCGGAACGGACCGGAATGGTACCGGTACAACCCGTTCCGGTGCCCAGCCTTAGACTTATCTAAGAGTTCAGCATAAGCCATCAACATTGAATCAGTTACTGTATATGTGTTTAAAAATTCACTTAATATGTATAATAACTAATTAAGAATCCAATAAACTGTGTTTTTTAGAATTGAAAATCCATAAACTTAAAGATCTTACCTTCGGCTCCTTGAATCAGGCTTGGAGTTAGTACTTCTTTTACATGTTCTAAAGAACCTTGCAGGTTTGGCACAAATCCTGTATATGCGTTTTAAATTTATTTAATATACATAAATAATTTGTCAAGAACTT